ATGCTAGGGTTGACACGGTCCTTCATGGGGGCCGTGTTCAGAGCCAGATCGGCGTAAGTCAGGAATGTTACATCTGAGCCTACTACTCACCAATCACCAATTGGTGACGAGTTTTGAACGTATCCGGAGGCCTGCCAAGGTTTTACCGGGACGGGGGCAGCCGCACTATTAGCCCACTCGCCATTTCAAGAAGGTGTCACCCTTCTTTACTTAGGGAGCAGAATAGCACGACTGTCAGCCCTGTAGCGTGGTATCCAATCCATTGTGCCGTGTCGTGTCCATAGTTCTATGCCGTATCCAGTATGCCGTAATAAGGATCTTACTGGCGTCGATCCTAATGTGCCGGTTGGCACTCCTGCGGGTTGACGAAGCATTTCCTCTATCGCCGTGTTATGGTTACCGCGCCAGTGTTCGCGTCGCACCCCCTCACTTTGCTATTGTCAGAAGGACAACATTGCCCAGGCTACACCACGGGGAGGCGTGAGGTAGGAACTTGTGAGAACCAGAGCTAGGTTGTCAACTCACCATTTGTAGCCCATGTGTGTGTGTGTGTGTGTGTGTGTGTGTGTGTGTGTGTGTGTGTGTGTGTGGGTGTGTGTATGTGTGTGTGTGTATGTGTGTGTGTGTGTGTGTGTGTGTGTGTGTGTGTGTGTGTGTGTGTGTGTGTGTGTGTGTGTGTGTGTGTGTATGTGTGTGTGTGTGTGTGTGTGTGTGTGTGTGTGTGTGTGTGTGTGTGTGTGTGTGTGTGTGTGTGTGTGTGTGTGTGTGTGTGCGTGTGTGTGTGTGTGTGTGTGTGTGTGTGTGTGTGTGTGTGTGTGTGTGTGCAACCTATCCCCCATCGACTGGCAGTGCTATAATGGAAGACATTTACTGCAGATTAAGCAACGCATTTCAGAATGCCTGGTAATTCACGTCCATTCCGAGGCTACTTTCACATACAATAGACCCCGCATGTAAACACTACCGTTATCATTTCAATAATGGTACTGCAAACAGACTTTCAGATTTCGAAATGTGATGATTGGAAATCTGGTGCATACTTAGTAATTTATGAAAATATACATTTATGGTTGATTTATAATTATATATATATTTTCCATTTTTGTAAATAAGAAGAGAAGATATTTAAACTTTTCTGCAGTCTGCTGCAAATAACACGAAGACTTCTTCCTTTAGCGGAAATGTCTGTGTCATCAGTGAACAAGGATTTGTGGCAACCCTGAGGCAAATCAGGGAGGTCCGAAGTGAAAATGTTATACAATATTGGCCAAAGAATGCTACCCTTAGGAACTCCTGTTTTAACAGGTAGTCGACTGGATTTGGAATTTTGATAATTTACCTGCAGAATTTTGTCAGTTAAAAAATTTTGAACTAATTTCATAATATTAAGTGGAATATTAAACTTTTTCAATTTAGCAATCAAACCTTCATGCCAAACACTGTCGAATGCTTTTTCTATGTCTAGAAGAGCAACTCCAGTTGAGTAGCCTTCAGATATGTTTGCACGAATTAAATTGGTAACTCTTAAGAATTGATGAGTAGTTGAATGCCCATGGCGAAATCCAAACTGCTCATCTGCAAAAATTGAGTTCGTATTGATGTGAAGCATCATTCTATTTAAAATTATCTTTCCAAAAAGTTTACTTATTGAAGAAAGCAAACTTATTGGACGGTAGCTACAAGCTTCAGCTGGATTTTTATCCGGCTTCAAAATTGGAACAACTTTTTCATATTTCCATTTATCAGGAAAGTATGCCAAATGGAAACATCCGTAATTATAGTAATTTTACCAAGAAAGACAAGGTACTCTCTGGGAGTTTTTTTGATGACGATATAGAAAATTCCATCATCACCTGGAGCTTTCATATTATGAAACTTTTAAGTAATAGACCTTACTTCGTCCAAATCAGTCCCCCAGAAATCATCAAAAATATTTTCCCGAGAGAAAATATTTAGATAATCCCGAGCAACTTGATTCTCAATAGGACTAGTAAGACCCAAACTGAAATTATTGGAACTCTCGAATTGCTTAGCAAGTTTCTGAGCTTTTTCCAAATTTTTTTGATCAAAATTTTACCACCTTCTTTAAGCGCTGGAATAGACTTTTGAGGTTTTTTCAAACATTTTGTGAGTTTTCAAAAGGGTTTTATAGCTCAGGTCTAATTTAGAAACATTATTTTCAAAAGTTTTGTTCCTCAGGGCAGACAATCGACAATCATTTCATGGCAGGATCGTGTGTTCTTTGATATTGTCTCCTACGAACATTTTTAAGACGGATCAAGAGCTGAAGATCGTCGTCTATTATAATTGAATCGAATTTAACCTCGCATTTTGGTACTGAGGCAGCTCTTGCTTCAACTATAGAAGTAGTCAGAGATTCAAGAGCATAATTAGTTTCATCTTTGGTTTGCAAAGGAATGTTTGGGTCGAAGTTATATTCCATAAATGTTCGAAATTGGTCCCAATCAGCTGTATGATAATTAAAAGTAGAGCTGTTGGGATTACAAATTATTTCTTGGGATATTTCAAAAGTTACTTTCAGGTGATCAGAACCGAAGTCAGCATGGGTAACCAATTGACTACAAAGTTGACGTGAATCAGTTCAGTCCAAATCAATAGAGGAGGGATTTCTTGCCGAAGCAAAGCATGTTGGGCTGTTTGGATATTGAATAGTGTAATAACCTGCAGAACAATTATCAAACAGAATATTACCATTGGAATTGCTTTGAGCATTATTCCATGAGCGGTGTTTTGCATTAAAATTCACCAATAATAAAGAATTTAGACCTATGACGGGTAAGTTTCTGAAGGTAACCCTTGAGAAAATTCTTTTGCTGGCCTACGCATTGGAATGGCAAATAGGTAGCTATAAACGTAAGTTGTCCAAATTTTGTTTTAGCAGAAACTCCCAAAGTTTCAAAAACTTTGGTTTCAAATGAAGAAAGAATTTTATGTTTGATTCGTCTATGAACAATGATGGCAACACCCCCACATGCTCCATCGAGACGATCATTTCTATAAATGAAATAATTTGCGTTCCTTTTAACCTTATGGTCAGGTTTAAGGAACGTTTCAGTTATAACGGCAATATGCACGTTATGAACTCTCAAAAAGTTAAATAGCTCGTCTTCATTGTGTTTAAGAGATCGAGCATCCCAATTTAAAAAATTTAATGCTTTAAAATCCATTGCTGAATTTTAAAGTCATGACAATATTGTTTGCAAATTTCTTTCTTGTACACGTCTCCGCGTACATCGTACGGGTTAGGCAAAGATGTGCGTCTATCTTTAAAAACTGTCGCATTAATGGCCCTTCGCTTATTTTCAACTTCTATTCAATTTTCATACTGCCGTACTCTAACGGAACTATCCACATACTCTCTTCTAAAGATCATTCTCTAGCTAATAAATTATCACACTAAAGCTTCATGTTAGCATTTCCAACCAACTCTGAAAATCGCTAACTTCGCGTATGAAGTAACATAAAAACACTTTGAATGTACAAAATATTGTTTTCTCTGAAAACGCTAAAAAAAATATAAAAATAAATAATAATGGAAATAAAATCAACTCTCCATACATTTTTGTATTAACATTATGCCAATAGAAAGGTGGGTGGCGCCATGATATTAGAGAAATTAAAACTGACAGCATTCAGTGATTCATTAACATTAGTTATTGTTAAAAAAAAAAACATTTAAAACTTTTATACCGAAGGAGAGGGAAGATATGAGATGGATAATAACTAGGTACGTCATGATCTTTCATACACATTTCCTGACAGTTGGTTGCTGCCCGGGTAAGTTGGACATTGATAAGCTGCGTCGTGGGTGATTTGCCCATAATTAATATCGGCGGATTTTCACATTGATCATTTTAACATTAGTAATACCCATCAGATGAACATCACTAGTAACACCCATCAAACAATTAAGAGTAAATAAATGTTGAATTGTTGAACAATACAGGAAATTTTCCTGTTTTTTCTATACTTCTTTGAGTCGTTTTTTTTTATCAAACTTAATCAGTAAAGTAAAACAAATCAATAAAACGAAAGCCTATGGATCCGTAAAATCATGCGATAAGAAAAATTAGGGGTACACCCTAATGGAGTCGCTTTTTACGCGGTTTTTTTTTACGCGGATTTCTGAATTTACGCGGTTTTTTTTACGCGGATTCCGGAATTTACGTGGGTTTTTTTTACGCGGATTTTGGTTTTTTTTACGCGGATATCAGAATTTACGCGGTTTATCATTATACACTAGAGTCGCTTTTTATGCGGTTTTTTTTTACACGGTCTTTTTTTACGCGGTTTTTTTTACGCGGATATCGGAATTTACGCGGTTTTTTTTTACGCGGATTCCAGAATTTACGCGGTTTTTTTTTTTTGCGCGGGACGTATCACCCGCTTAAAAAGCGACTCCAGTGTATTTACTATGCGCATGGTAAACATATACAGTATCGTAAAAATACCAGGGTCCATTGGAGTGTAATGGAAGTTTGCGCATTTATGAGGGTGTATACGTTTACGATGTGCTTTGTGAATACTTCTACTGTTTTACACATGTATGCCCCGCTAACTGATATGCATTACGGTATATGGCCCGTGGATTAAAAACGTTGGGCAGGTCTGTTTTTAATTTATTGGTAAAAATTCTGCGGGAAAAAACAATCTTTAATTTTCGCTACGTTTTTGTTCTTTATTTTATTCTTTAAAAAATGAAGTTACTTTTCGATGCACGCCTTATTGTAACGGGCTGTTCAGGGCCACTACGTAACATTTTTTTGGGATTCTTGACCCCCTCCCCCTGCGTAGACAATTGTCCGTACAATTTTTTTTTTAATTTGTATGGGCCGTGGATAATTGTCACCCCCCCCCCCCCCCCCTAAACTGTCTATGTAGTTTATGAACAGCCCCTAAATGCTGACGTTGTACCGCATTACTAAATCTATAAACATAAATTCTTTACTTACAGTTATGCTACGGTGCATCTAGTCCTGCCTTATCAGATAGAAGTAGATTTCCTACGTTATTTAGAACGCATCCATCTGCCACTGTACATAATCCAACTAGGATTAAATTAATGCAGAAATTTGGATGGTCGCGAGTTGCGATTCTCCAACAAGCCGAAGAAGTGTTCATATCGGTAAGTCCGCATATACACCTTTACATCAAATGATTCGTGTTAATGATTCGTATACTCACGCTAAATCACGTATCAGAGCTGCGTCATATCCGATTGCTAACAAATTATATTATATTTCTTATGTTCGTTTTGCGTCCCAATTCTGCTGGCTCATTCTACCCCACAATCAACCGCTCAGACCGTCGAGGATTTAGAAACTCGATGTAAGGATGCTGGTATCGAGATAGTGACGAGACAATCATTCCTTTCCGATCCAACCGATGCGGTACGAAATCTGCGAAGACAAGATGCTCGTATCATCGTCGGACTATTCTACGTAGTCGCAGCCAGGCGAGTACTTTGCGAAATGTACAAACAGCAGCTTTACGGCAGGGCGTACGTGTGGTTTTTTATTGGTAAGTAACATTGAACCAGCTGATATTTTTCATTTTCTCCTTCGGATACATTGTCGTACGCTCCATTTGTTCAGCAACTTTTTCATCAAATCTCCTTCTGTTATGGGAATGAACAAGCAAAATCTGAGATAAATGATGCGGATGACAGAATTAGAGAATATCCCTCGTTGAAATCAATATCGTTTAGCTTCCATGCAGCAGGATGGAGAAACAGTTGATACGGTAAAAGCTTACGTTTACTGATGTCGACTAATCCTCGATACTTTCAAGATATTGTACTGGCAAGAACGAACATAAAGATAAACTGAACCGCTTTGCATTAATTGATGTTCGTTTAAGTCACACTAAGCCGATTGTGTTGCTATCGTTTTGAAGGCAATTCTGGAACTCAAATTGAGAAATTGTTAAGATTTGAATCTCTCGCCCAAAGAGAAAGATATAAACAAATAAACAAATAACAAGATTAGACACATCATAAGCTTTCAAAATATATGGAAAGTATGGTAGAGCGTTACGTCGCCGTAATCGCCCATTTCCGTACTGTCGAGCAGAAAACATCAATAATACGTTTGTTTCGATGCTCATAAGCTACAAAACAAAGCCTATACGAGCGCGTTGTATGAGTATGTACAATCATTGTTCTCAAAGCAAAAGAAGCGCTCCTAGCAAATCAATTTATCTGCTTTCATTCGTAGATCTAAGAAAAAGAAAACCTAGAAAAACCAATGGCGTTTCAATGCGTTAAGACGGTATTGAAACTCATAGAATTAATTTAGAATCGAGAAGCAGTGTTAGATTTCTAACAATATCTCAACAATGTATGTCTCTTTATAAAATCCAACGGAACTTTGATAAAGGTAAATAAATTTGGAAGTCATCTTTAGTAGAATCGATCTATTTTTGGATTCATATTCGTTCGAAAAAGAGAGGTTAAGTGCGAGTTGTGCTTAGTAGGACGAAAATTAGATCAAAACCCCTATACTGGTGAGTAACCTATTGTATTTTCATGACAAGCTACTGGGAAGTGCGTACTTTTTCGTGATTTGAGCGAAATTGTTTTTGTAAACAAACACGTCAGAGATTTATTGATACATAATTTGATTGATTGACTAATTTCGATCTTTTAATATTGTTTGCTCTATTCTTCACAACCAGTATCGAATTTGTTGTTTGTCATATCTTAAGTGATTTTATAACCAAACATTCTTATTTAGAGGAAATTTTAAATCATTCCTAAATATTGATATAAATTGATTTCATTTCACAACTCCGGACTTATACGAGATTTTGGCGTATTTTTTTTTTTTTCAAATAAATTCGTCGATTTCTCACGAATAAAAGCTAACTCTCCCAAACAAATTATGCCAGTCATGCCTCTACCAGGTTGAGCTTTTATTCGCGAGAAATCGACTATTTACGTTACAATTACGACCAAATCTTGAATTTGACAGGACTTGTGAAATGAAATCAATGCATAACAAATAACCAGTATTTTGCAAAGATATAGCATTTCATCTACGTAAGGATTATTGGTTTATAAATCATTTTATATATGAAAAGCAACAAACTGGATACTAATAGTGAAGAATAGAGCAAAAAGATATGAATTGATCAAAATGATTTAATCAACCAAATTATGTAATTAGTAAATCCCTGAAGAAGATGAAATAGATGACGTGTTCATCTAGATAAAATTGATAAATCCGGAAAACTTCGTAGCTTTTTCTTTAATTCGCCAGAAACCGGTGATTGACTTGTTTGTTTACAAAAGCAATTACGCCCAAATCTCAAAGTTCGCCGGAAATAACAGATTTTTAACGATGGGCCCAATATTAGATCCATAGGCCAACATTAGAGACATTTACCCTATATCATCGAAACGAGGAATAGTAGACGGAAAACTCCGTAGTAGACTGTGAGAGCCGAAAACCACCCTCCAAAGTTCATATAAGTTCCGTATAAAATAACTTTTAAGAGTGACGTGTGTGGATGTTGCCGGAGAACTCCTGTCTACTTTCCAGATAGAAGAGCGTACAAAACGGAGAACCACCATCGAACATCTGCGGAACGAGAGGGGCGAGATAATCAACAATGCCGATACGATTCGTGATTACTTGGTTCAGTATTTTGCTGATCTCTATGCACGGGCGAATGTGGGTGAAGAAGAAGATAAATTGTTCTAATGTGGGAGAGTCATCCCCGAAGAGAACGCTGCAAAGGAAACCTTTATGGACGAAATAGCAACTACACAAATTCTTTCTGCCTTCCGAACGAGCGCATCGAAAAATCGCCAGGTCTCGACGGTCTTTCGAAGGAGTTCTATCTACGAGCTTTCGATGTGATTCACCGCGATCTGAATTTAATCCTGCACACTTAGAAAAATTCATGTAAATTTAGGTTCAGTTCAATCAAACGTACTTTTCGTCGAGCAACGATCTTTTCAGTCTCGGAGTACTTGACATTACATGACATGCTTGTTTAGATGTCATATTTTATGCCAGAGAGGGGCTGTTCATTAACTACGTATACAGTTTTTTGGGATTCTTGACCCCCCCCCCCTGCGTAGACAATTGTCCATATCATTTTTTTTAATTTGTATGGGCCGTGGATAGTAGTCAACCACCCCCCCCCCCCCACCTATATTGTCTACGTAGTTTATGAACAGCGCCAGATGGATTCGAACAACGTAGCCTAATATTTGCTCCCCAGAGGTATCCATCGTTACGCTGCTCGTGTCGTCCGTCTGCTGCTGATCTCCACTCGTCTCTGTGATTCTGGGCTAGTCACCGGTTCTGCCAAGAGTACGTGGATAGCCGGCCCGAGTTTAAGAGAGCGTTGAGCTAGCCGTTTCTTTCAATTTCCAGCACAGCCTTGTTATAAATTTTCTCCCCCGATAGCCTATCGGAAACCCGGAATAAAACCGGAACCACTTGGTCAATCTGTTCCGCGTTTTATTAGACCTTAATATCGAACATTTTTCTACTCACTGTGTAAATTTCAGCCAATTTCAACGTAAAATGAAAAAGTTATATCCATGCAAACATTGCTATTCGTATGCCTGTTCGTAAAAATAAAAACCGCACAAAGCACGTTAGGCCCTCCCCAAAATTATGACCGGTGGTGTTCAATTGAAACGCTAATAACTTTTCGGGGGTAACTCGGATTCACATCCGATCTTCAATCAAGATGCTCCCAATACTCCAAAGATTCTACATTTTTTTTACACGAATGTGAAAGTGGCTCGTTCCTCCATACATTTTGTCGATTTTCCCCATACAAACTTCAAGCCCTTTGAGCCATGGGTTCCCGTGAACCAAATGACACATCACATTTTCGTAGGGTGTTTCCGACCCCCTAAATTACCATTTCAGGGGGTAGCGTTTGAAATTCAAGACTTTGACTTTTTTCCATAAACGCTGAAACACTCTACTGTAGATGTATTTATTTTGTAAACCCACGCAGCCTAGGGTTGACGAAATAAATAAAATCAAATCAAAATCCAGGTTTCAAAATCCTATCTATTCACAGTGATTAAAAAAAGTTCCATTCAGGTGTACGATCAATTTTGAGATGCACTGTAAAGTATACAGTGTATATGTAAGTTGGAGCAGTAGGCCCGAAATAAAAACATAATAACTTATTACACAGCAGTCGAATCAAATCGATCTTGGATTTAGTATTTCTGTATAATCATCTCAATTGGAATCCCAGAATTTATAAATATTAAGCATTTTTTTTTTAATTTTTGGCTAGCCAATGTATACTTTTACTCCGATTTCCAAACCTCCCATAGAAACTTAAAAGCTCTTTTGAATTTATCTAATCTAATCTAATCTAATCTCACACTAACGCAGCCAATACTTTGAAAGCATCCTGGAAAATGACGGCTTCATTTTTCTTGTCAACGGCCAGGCCAACTGCGCAGCATGTGCCGCAGAGAGGATTTCAAGGAGTCAAGTGATGTCAGAAATGAAAATCTGAAACCACTCCACAACCTGAGATCAAGGGAAAGGAAGAAAGCGTGGACCTCCCGTACCAAACGCTTCCAGTTACAATTGAATAATAGTATTTATATGTTTTCGTTGGGAGCATAATTGCTATAAAATTTAATTTATGCTCATGGTGTCTTTGGATGAACTTTTGGCATTTGAACCAAAAGCCAGGCTATTTCTGGGTTAACATTTGAAACAAGTGGAACAACCATCCGTAAACGACAGCTCCAAACACAAACCCTTCAACCATCAAACACACACCCACGAAATATAACACCAGCATCTGATAGAGCAAACTTTCTTTATCGAAAGGCCCCGACAGTCCGCGAGGGCACCATGTAAATTCAAAGAAACCCGCGTCGAAAGCCACTGCCCTCAAACGGTCGTTCCGACCACTTCCAACTCAACCCAGATTTAATGCCAAGGTTATAGCGCCTTATCTCGCTCTCTGGAAATATATGGAAATGTATAGGAATATATGGAAATATACAGATATATATATACATGTAAATAAATAAAAGAGAGAAAAAAAAAGAAATAATATCACAGAAAAGTCATGAAAAAGAAACGACCTGGTTAAACAAGCTATTCAAATGAAATTACGTTCTCGAATTTCACTTGGAATGTAATGAGCAACAGAAATACGCGATAATTCATATTTTCAGCGGTTGGTTTAATTTTAAATATACCAACGGTACTGCTTACGACTACGACGGCGCCTACGACAATTCTCTGTTGTCGAATTTGTAACTTACCATTTGTCTAGGATAAACACCTTTGCCCGGCACCTCCACTGGTTCTTCATGTCCGCTGTCACTGTTTTCTAAATATCTAATAGCAATTACCTTTTTTTTTTTTTTTACTTTTTTTTTGTTCCAAATTTAAAATAAATTACATTTCATTTTTAACCTAGGTGCTCCAGTTACTACAGTAACTTACCAGCCTTAATTGTTATGATCTATATCTAAGTGTTTTTACATTGTTCCTGTCTTGGCAATTCAGTATTTT